GTGGGTCACCCAATACTCGTTGCCACTTTGGTGATATCGACGGATACTTTTTGCCGCTTTGGTGATGTCAACGAATACTCGTTGCCGTTTTGGTGATATCAACGACTACTCAATGCCAATTTGGTGATATCAACGAATACTCGTTGAAAATTTGGTGATATCAACGAATATTCGATGCCAATTTGGTGATATCAACGAATATTCGATGCCAATTTGGTGATATCAACGAATTCTCGTTGCCACTTTATTAACTATCGTTATAGTAGCGACATTTTATTCCTATACCACACATTTTTCTGTTTGATATGACTTTATTATATGTCTATATTTTAATATACTATGAAAATGAAAAAAAATATTTCATAAAGAATGAAGAGAAAACTTTCTAAAGATCAAAAAAATCAAAATATAATCAAACTTTATCTTATGAGGCAAAAGACGTTCAATTACGCTGATTCCCAAAGAACAAATATGGCCGATATATCATCTACAATTTGTAAACAGTTTTTATCAATATTTGCTTATTTTGTGCTATATTAATTGTGCTGAATGTGCTTTCAATTTTGCTGTTTCAAATAGAAGTTTTTATTGTTTTTTTTTAATCCGAGTCAAAATTTCTGTAAACGTGTACTTTTGTATAATTCTTTCCCTTTTTCGTTCATAAAATCTCGTATTATACATAAGAAAATACAATAAGTATGAATGCTGCCTGATCGCTATATACCGATTTCAGCAGACAGTTGGACAATATTTCAGGCGGGGTCCGCGAAAATGCGAAGCCTGAAGCGCTTCCTGCTTTATAATCAAGTAGGGTATTCAGTTGGCAAATCGTTTTATCAAAGATTGATTCATTGATTTCCTTTCTACGGCTTATCAACCTTTTGCAGAAAATATTTATAGATTTTAAGAATTTTTTTTTCGAGTTATTTAGTGATACCAGATTTAGTAATTAACTCATTACTGGGAAGAAGATATGAATTCTTACAATTCCGAAGACTATTTGCGCGTAAGTGAATATAACAAAACCAACTGGAACTCGATGAACAATTGCGAGCCGTTCTACTTTGCACCACCCGCGCATCCAAGCTTACAACGCCCGGTATTGCTAAGCGGTTACACATCTAGTTACTGACTAACTTCGACATTGCTTAACTTCGGTGATCGTACTGGAACCGGTGTTTCAACGTGATATGGCCGTAAGCCTTTTGCCACAGACATATAATATCCTTTCAATAAGAAATTAATTGCTACCACCCATATATATATATATATATATATATATATATATATATATATATATATATATATATATATTTATATATATATGATAACTTATAGAAAAGTAAGAAACGAAACTTATCAGGTAAAAGTGGAGATTTCCACATATTATTAAAAATAATTAATTTTTCCTCATGTACCTGAAGACGGTCGCGAGACCAGAAACAGGTATCGTAAAATTATGTAAAACGAAGAATAATATTTTTTCTAAATAAATCCACATTACAACGTTTGCGGCACCTCTCTTTTCTTCTTTTTAATATACATACTTTTCTCTCGTTGGAACCACTACATAATATTTCTTTTATATATATATATATATATATATATATATATAACGTAACGTCTCGAAGCATAACAGATGCTATGTGTGGATCTAACATCGAATCACTACTGTGATATCAGACAGTTATGTGCCATCGCTTAGGCGATCATGTATCTTTCAATACATGATTGACGAGGCAGATTTTTTCCCGCATTTCTTTCTGCAGACCAGTTGCTATCCAAGGCTATAGAAACCGGTCTGTCTTTCTGTTTACACATAGCCTCGGGGAGAAGAAGATTCATACCTTTCCCAAGGGTATTAGCCCGTAAGTGAATGTAATGGATTCGAATAGAATTCGAACTCGACTCTCCGAGCCGCTATCCATTACTCCACCGTAACTTCTGATATTTTTAACTTACACTTAATGACGATGAACTTTTAACCGATATAATAATTTGAAGAAAAGAAAACGAATTATTATTAAAAGAAATTAGTTTTTTGTTTCATTTATTCAGCTAAGATACTTATGTAAAGAATTTTTCCTTATTTATTCCTAAAACTATTTAATTGACAACTTTGTGGATGCAGCACAGCGGTTGCCGTATTATACGCTTCCAATTCGGGCCAATATTCTTGGATGGTTCACAATGTTTCTGCTGTTTTAATCTCCGGTTCTTCTTCGGATATCTGACTTCGGATTCAGTAACCATCTTAGAATTTTGAACACAACCCTTTATTCAATCCACAGAGTAGATTGTTCCGCGTTCCAAGCTCGGGGATATTTTATATAACTAGCTACTCAACTGTTGTGTCGCTTGTTTGCTTCTTCGTCTGAAACAGATATGAATTAAATAATTGGACTTGTGTCTGTAAAAATTATTCTAATTCTAAAAAAGAATATCTGAAGACAAATCACACGCAAAAAAAAAAAATAGAATTATTTTTACAATCCAACTTATGTTGTGACTTTAAATAACCCAATATAGGTTGATAAGCCGTAAAAAACGTAACTACAGTATGCGAATTTTCAGCACTACTAGATACAGAACTTATAACTGCCAGGGCATCAGTTCGGTTTAGCCATTGGTTTAATCCACTATATATATATATATATATATATATATATATATATATATATATATATATATATATATATATATATATATATATATATATATATATATATATATATATATATATATACCCAGGTACGATGAGAACGAATAGAGTACAGAATATCCAGGTGGTGAAATTATATATATATATATATATAAAATTACCTCTCTACCCTACCCCCGGTTTTATTTCTGATAAAAGATGACTGTCATGCATATGTACATTTATTGTAAACTTTTGTATCGTCCTTTAAGTTAATGTGTGGCTGCTTGTCATTAAAAGATTATAATTTCTATTTCTTTTTCTTTTTCGCTTAGTTTGAATTTAACGTAGGTCATATTCGATAGTTTGATCAGCGTAAAGCTCTCAAGCCTTATTTTCACTCGCCAGTACTTTGCGAGGAGACGCTTTGTTATGCTTTGATACACGACTGCAATTGTGTAGCGATCTTTACATGTTTTTGTTGTAATGTCCTATATATATATATATGTCCCGGAAAGGGATATATTTGATGGCAAAATTACTGTAGGTGCTCGTCGTACGCAGGTGATAAGTTTAGACCAATAGGATAGCCAATGGCGGTTTTATTTAAACTCTGATAAAATCCGTCTGATTTATGACGGACACCAGCCAATCATATTCCAGGTGTATGCATATACCATTATATCAATATATATATATATATATATTTATATATATAATATATATATATATTTTAATAAGTAAAATGTTTGTGACTCAGCTGATTAGTTTTACCTTCAGCATCCGGAATACAGAGTTTCAAGGACGAACCGTCCATGAATTACTCCTTGTCATCAGCAATTGACTGATTATAATTTCATTGGTGCAATTTCTTTTTTCATTGTGTATGTATGCATGTGTTCGTGTGTAGGTTCACACGCGCACCTATGAGGTCGTCTGTGTGTATTTATATATGAAATATAAAAGAACGATCGAAATGTTGTGAATATGGCATTGTTAGTAAGCTTCTGTACAAAAATTTGTTGTATAGACTAAAATAAGAAGTGGGAAAAGAGGAAACTAATATTTATATTTATTTATAATATACGCATTTTTTCAGGGAAAAATTAAAATTAAAACATCATTATTATTGCTTACAACTGAATTTTCAGTGTTTTCTTTCCTAGAAAAATAAATTGTTTTAATTTTTTTTTAATTTAACTGGTTTTTTGCTTTTTTAAAAAGTATTAAACTGTTTGTATAGCCAAATGTTGACGCTTATATTTTAAACAGATGATAAAAATGAACAAAATGAAATAATCAAGGGGCGTAACTGGCTTATGCATGTCGCTTATATTAAGGAAAATTTCGTATAATCTATTTGTGCAATGAATTAAGTATTGGTTTGAACTTGCTGATGAAAGATGATTCTTTATTAATCCGCCTTTGTTCAGTGGTTATGTTGTCGAACTGGTAGAATGAGAAGACACTAAATTTGGCTGATTTTGTCCTCCTCATTCATCTATATGTTGGCCAGTTGGTATTTTTCTTGTGTGGGGGGTCCGTAATTTGTTGGCGATGAACTGTCATCCTTTGCCGCAGTGACTGACCGATTTGGCTAATGTAACGTTCGTGGCAACCTTTGCATGTAATGATGTATATTAAATTCTCTGGGACGCACAAGAAATTATTTTTAATTTTGATCAATCCTTGAACTTAAATTCAAGGGCCTGTCATAGATAGTTGTATACTCCGCAAAGTGTTCGGTTGCATTTTTTCTACCTGAATTTCATTAATTGTGTTCTGCAGTTTTCGTCAGTTTCTTTTTCAATGATTTAGGTTGTCGTTTACTTTTTATGAATGGGTATTTTTGAAATAGGCTTTTCGTCTTTTTTCTTTCTTTTTTTTGTCCTTTAATAGGATTGGTAGATTTAGTTGTATATGTGTGTATATTTCTGTGTTCTTTTGGTTGAAAGTTGAGATATAAAGAATAAACCTTTTTTTTTCGCTTTTGTTTCTCGGAGTGGGTGGATGTTAATTTTTCTTTTTTCAATACTATTGTTGATCAAACTTTGGAGTCATTTTCTGATGATATTTTTTTTCATCTCTTCTTGTCTCTTTTTGTCCTTTATGGTTGTGTTTTATTGTACATATCCGCTTCTAGATTGAGGGGATGTAGGGATATATATATATATATATATATATATATATATATATATATATATATATATATATATATATATATATATATATATGGCGGGTACGTGTTTGTGTGTGTATGTATGTATAATCGGATAAGGAACAAATAAAACGTTCATACATCTAACATATTTTGCTTTTGATTATAACTTCCCCAGAGAATGAAAGACAGTTCTTCATTTTTTAACTTTTGTGTTGTTTGTTTTAGTTAAGCATTGGTTTTTCATATATGTATGTATATATGTATATATACATTATGGGTATGTGTGGTTTGAACCTTCGTGACCATGAAATCTGAATATCACCATAGTCGATTTGTCAGGAAGATGTCATTTGATGCTATCGATCTTGGGAAGACGATCAAGTGTGTGGCACAGTGTGGATAGTGCAAGAAAACCATACCACGATTTACCACAAGCCCTTTGGACCCGTTTATGTTTTATAGCACGAAGTCACTTTTCATTGAGGGTTTGAGCGTACTGGATTTGTTCAGACTGTTGATTTCGCCACATAATGCGCTCTCTCGCAGAATCTGTACCTGAGGTCCGCTTTGCACAGTTACAGTATAACCCACAAGCTGAGATCTGTGGGTGTTGAAGAAACACAAATGTGCCTGAGAAGGTGTCTTCAACAGGGATCGGCTAGCCGCCCTAATAGACAGGCATCCTTGAATACGTATGGCCAGTCATTATGCATGTATTGCTTTCCAATTTAATTTGGAATAAAAATTAAATGTTGCTTCATGTATGTGACTTTGATCAGTTCCAAATGTTCTGCAATATGGCTTTTCTTGGGATGAATTCTTGGTGGCTAATTTTTATGCAGCACATATCCAGACTCATCGTCGTCAATGTGTATACTCAGGTCTACTTCTTTAAAAATCAATAAGTTTCTCGGAATTCGTGACCAGAAACTAAATTTAGGATAACTAAAATTAAGGCATAGTAATAGTAGAGGCATCATTTTAAGGTTACAAACAGCAGGTAGATTCTGATATCTGCGGGGTCCTCGAAGAAACGGGTGGATTAGTTGATGACCCACAATAAAATCGGTTATGAAACGTATCATGTTGTTATGCAGGTAATATCATTACTTTACTTTCAACCCCTTCTGAAAATTTGGATAAGATTTTCCCTTAAATTTAATTCAGAAATGTCATTCTAAAAAAAAAGATGGAGATTTACCTTAAATTCAATACAGAAAAATCTGTGAGAAAATATAAATAATATTCTACATTAATTAAGAATTATAAAGAAAAGCTACAGAATAAATATTAACGAAAAGTCACCCATTTTCTGTTATAGCGATTTTCCAGGCATTGCGTAGATGTGGCACAAGGCCGAAAGTAGGGGGCACCCAGTGAATATCGAACTCACTACACAGTAGTAATCGTTCTATTGAGACAAGCTTGCTAACCCCTACACCGCCTCGAGATACCTGTCTCATTTTCTGTTACATAGGAATAAATTGTCAATGCCGACACTTGAGTTTGCACATAGATCACCAGTGAGAAAATTCAGGCGATCCAATTATTGGAATAAATAAAGTACCTAACCATGGAGAAAACGCATATATATGAGGTAACTTGTGTCTAATTGATAGCCATGTCTCATCTATCACTATTCGGATCGTTAGTCCTAGTCTATCCTCTATTACTATTCGGATCTCTATTCCTACTCTACCTTCTGTTACTATACGGACCGCTAATCTCTACTCTATTCACTATACTATTTCTCTATTCGGATCACTATACGATTACGATTTCGAGCGAGTATTATCGAGCAAGTACTATTAATGCGACTGACACCAGCATTTTTCAACGGCGTACTATAGTTGTATCTGCGATTACAAAGTCTCTACTACAACGACTAAGACGAAAATGACAAGTATTCGTTGGTATTACACAAGCAGCAATGAGAGTTCGTTAACAACACAAAATTTTCATACTTTTCTGTCAAGAGAAACGTCAGGTTAACGGGAAAAAGTACTAACGATTTATTATTTAATCCCACGCACACACATACATATATTTCTTTCTTTAGTTTTTTTGATCTGATGAGTCCTAGGAAGTCGAAACGCGTAATCAAATCGACAGGGTACCCAATAAAAAAAGCGGTAAGTTCAAAAAGAAATTTATTTAGCAAACATGATTCACAGAGAATCTGAACAATCATCGTAGATTTTCGAAATGTTTGCTTGTATGTTCAACACAAAGTTATAAGCGTGCTAACCAGGACGCAGTAGCGATGCTGGATAATGTCAAAAAGAATTTCATTCCAAGCTTCATTTAAGTTGCACTTCAATGAATCAATATCGACGATGTCACGACAACGGTTTTGCAAATAAGCTAGGAGTATACTACATATACAATCATTCATAACATTCAGACTTAGACTTTTAGAGTACTACTCAGATGGAACAATTAGAGCTGGTATATTGTCTTGAATAAAATTTCCGTCTATTTCCTGGGCGCCCTGTTGTTTCGATGAAACGATTTTCTATTTGTCATATTTCTTCAAAACTTTGTCGGGATTCTGTATCCTATTTTATACAGAAATTATATTATATAGTATCAAGTTTCAGCTTCGTCAGTTGTCAAATAAAAATCTCCATTGCTTTCTTTGCCTTGTCGTCGAGGCCTAGAACAGCCCGACTGCACTCACAGAGAAATAAGACTCTCC